TGGGGTGCGTTCCCAACTCCGCCCGCAGACCAAGGGGTCTCTGAGCACCCCGACATAAATGAGTATGAAGAGAAGGACACAAAGTCCCCTCTGTGGGTTTCCCAATGCTAAGCGTGCCAGAGCTGGGAGAGTGGGGGCTGGGCTGAGGGGGGAGGGAAGGAAAGAGCCAAGCCAGCCTTTGCCTGGAGACCCTCCTCCCTACACGGTCTAGAACACTGGGTTTCCACATAAGACCTTATAAAGACAAGGGCCCTCAGGCACCTTCGAAGCACCTACAACACTGACTGTGGCCAGCTGTCACAGAAGACAGTGCTTAAGGTCAAAGGGACACGCCCAGGCCCAGGATGGAGCAGGGCAGCTGTGGGGCCCTCACACTGGGGGTGGTGGGGCCCGGCGCCCCCCAGCCCCGCCCCCGCAGACTTCCGGCTGCTGCAGGCCCCACCCTACAGTGCAGGCGCGCCTGCCTCTGGACATGGATGGCATCGGACCAGCCTAAGTGCAGAGCCTTCATTCCCATGGCAATGAGGCTGAGTGCTTTAGACAGACTCAGGTACAGACAAGTGTCTATACACACACACACACACACACACACGGGTGAGAAAACTTATAAAAATCTAAAACTCTGTACTCAAGACCACATGAAAAATATTCCTGCTTCATGGTTTTAAAAAAAAGGCTGACACAAAAAATGGCAGTTAAAAACAGCATGGCTGTGGGTTCCAGGCCACCAGGTGAGCAGCCATCCCCAGCTCCGGGCGCACTGTGTCCACAGCCGCACGTGATGTTTGCGGCGAGGCGCGTCCCTCTGCTGCGGGGGCAGGACTGTGCACAGGCAGAGGGTGTCCCTGCCACCCCACGTGGCAGCCAGGGGCCACTCACCCAGTGCGGGAGGTAGCAGATGCCCTCGTCAGCCACAAACTCCAGCACGCCACAGTGCGTCATGCGGTCCGAGTTCTTGTTGGTCAGTTTGAACAGCATGGGGTAGGTGATGTTAAGTCGGCCTAAAAAGAAGAGCGAGGCATGAGGCTTGGCTTCTTCCAGGGAGAGAAACCCTGTCCCCAGACCCTCCCCGGGGAAGTGCCTCCCTCCCCCAGCAGGCACTGGGACCTACGTGGTACTGAGCCCCTGGGTGTCTAACTGCCCAGCAGACCCCGCGCTCCTGCCAGACCTCAGGAACGTTCACTGAGTCAGGAACGTAGCACCAGCTTATACTTTTGAATGTCGGAAATCCCACTTTTAAAAAGTGACGTGTTCGTTTATTCACAAACAGTTTAAGTGCCAACCAGGTGCTGGGCAAAATCCCTCCTTCAGAGGTTTCCAGTTAGAAGACCAGAGCATGCCCAGATGCTCGTGCTGGGGAAGGGTGGGGCCGGAGGCAGCGCAGCCAGGACGGATGCTGGGGGATGTCCTCCAGGGGAGGAAGTCCAGGAAGAGAAAGCAGCCCAAGCAAAGGCATAGAGGGAGGGGAGCCAGGCTGGTTCAGGAACTGCTGGCAACCAGGCGAGACTGGGCACAGGGACCGGGTGTGCGAGCAGTTGGGGGGGAGCAGGCAGGGCAGGACCGGTCAGCAGTGCGGTCTTGCAGCAGGGACCCAGTGTGTCCCCTCCCGCCAGGGGTCCTGAGGTGGGGGCCACGTGTGGGGTTGGAGGCCTGCTGACTCAGGAGTGCAGGGGGCGCAGAAAGGAGGGGCTGGCGCTGCAAGGCAGGAAGACCCAGGAGAGTCAGTAACCTGCGGGAGCAGTCCGGGACAGACCGACAGGACCGTGTTGCCTTGTGCCAGACCCCTGCTCAGCCTTCACGGGACAGTGAGGTGGGTACTGTCCTCACCCCTTTATCTATGGGGGACTAAGGCACACAGGTCTGGCAACGTGCCCCAGAGTCACACATCCCAGGAATGGCCATGCTGGGGGTCAACCTAGGCCACTGGCCCAGGTCTGGGGCTTGACCACTGAGACCAACTTTAGCCTGTAGATTTAGGCAAACGTGGCAACAAAAGTTGACTCAGTGGCAGGAGGTACGGTAGACTCCATTTGGGATCTCCCGAAAAATTTGGAGAAGCAAATTGGATAATGAGTCTGGGTGGGAGGCTGTCCCCCCATCACCAAGGGCGACTGGGATACTGGCAGTGGTGGCCAAGGGCCTGGACGCCAGGCCCTCCGTCACCAGGGCACCTCCCGGCTGTGGAGCCGTGGAGTGGACTGAGGTGGGTCAGGGTGAATGGATTGATCAGGCTCCAACCAAGGGTCCGAGATTCTTGCCATTGGAAGAGACCCCCATGTTCCTCAGTCCAGTAGTTTTCAAACTGCATTTTTCTGATTTAGAGAAGTGCCTTGGGGAGTCCGAGTCTTCCACATACCCTCACCTCCTCCGCCCTGAGCAGCGACCCTTTTTACAAACCAGGACTCCCCGTGAGATCTCATCTGGACAGCTCCTTCCATGACTTACGAGGTCTGCACAGCACTGAACTAAGCCCCACTGTCCCAATCCCCCAGTCTCCTCTCATACCCACATGCCAACACACCTGGTCTTAGTCCTGGGTCAGCTCCACCCATGAGGCAGACTCTCAGGGCCCTGCTCCCCACTCTGGGACAACAGAGGGTACGACAGGGGCCTGCCTGAGGGCCGTGCCCCCTGCTCTACCCACCCTCTGGCAGAGCTAAAGGCCTCCCTCTGCGGGTGCAGCCACTGCTACTGTCAGTTAGGCCCTGCTGGCTAAAGGCCACCTCCTGCCCCTGCCTGGTGCCACAGGGCCCTGGCTGTTTACACACACCACAGGTACCATCCAGGAGGCACTCCTGCCGCAGAGCAGTCCCCACAGATGGCGTCATGCCCCCATTTAAAGGTGAGGACACCAAGGTTCAGAAAGGTCCAGTCACTAGCCTGGAGTCAGGCTGGACAAGGTGCAGAGCCCAAGCTGGAGCTACACCAGAGCAGGCGCCTGGCCCTTACCGAGCTGCCCAATGGGCACCCAACACAGAGCGTGGACCCTCCCGGCTCAGAGGCCACCACATCTCCTGCCTCAGAACCCACACCAAAAAGACCCCCAAGTCTCAAAAGGCAATGACTGTGCCCATGGTCGGGGCATCCTAGTCCGGGTGGAGTGAGGCCAGGGGTGTGAGGTCTCCGAGCTGCTCCCATGGGAGTGGGGAGTCGGGGAAAGGGGGAAAAGCGTGGCCAATCTCCCAACCCTGGGCCTTTCTTGCTCCTGGTAAGAGGCGGGACGGGGCAAGGGGAGCAGCTCCTGGGGAAGAGGGGTTAGAACTGCGGCTGGAGCTGAGGCAAGAGGCTTGGGGAGATGAAAGACCTGCGCGCGGCGTCCTCTTGGGGGCTGCCACCATCCTTTAGGGGAAAATTTAGTGCGTCCAGCCAAGGACATCGGCTGCCCCAGCAGAGTGAATAGCACCAGTGTTCACACCTTCCTTTAGTCCTAATAGGACCCGGGGTGGGGTGGGGGGGGCCAGAGGAGTGGACCCAGAGCCGAGCACCCACTGGCCCCGGCCTCCCAGCCCAGCTAGCGCCCTCCAGGGACAATTCCCAACCAGCCTCGCCGAAAGACGCCTCTGCCTGGGCGGCGAGGGGTCTGTGCCTGGTCCCAGCGCCCACATTCACATCACCTCCGTTCTCAAGTCAGGTAGAAAGTACTTACTGAGTTGGTCGAGGGCTGAGGGTGGCATAATTACTGTGGAAAGAACATTTAGGAGATATTAAGAAAAGAAAAATTAAAACAATAGAACAAAAGTCAAAGTGCACTTTCTGTTATAGCTTAATGAAAGTATTAAACGATATCTGTGAGGCAGATGGAATTTCACGATTGTTCACAACAAGTTTTACTAGCTATAATTTATTTGGTGAAACCAAATGGCTATCAGCCATAAATCTAATCATAATTAGGACCCCTCCCCGCACCCCTTAGCCAGGACACCTTGACGACATCTTGACGGTAACTAGCCTCCGTCACACATGCAAAATGAGAGCTGCCAAGGACTATGAGCACTGCAGGCCTAGGGCAGGAAAGGTTACGATTCAAAATAAAAACAGCACATACTCTTCCCTCCTTTCTCCACATCTGACCTGTCATTAGGCCCCGCGAGCATGGACACGGAGAAGCAGCGGTACTGCGTGGAGAAGCGGTTCTGGAAGACCCGGGGAATCGGGTGGTCAAACATGTTGAAGGAGAACTGGAAGGAGGGAAGAGATGCTGCAGTTAACACAGAACGAAGGCACGTTTCTTCTGTCAACAGCTAGAGTGGGTCAGGGTGTCAACGCTCAAGAGCAAGACAAACCTGCACCCAGTGAGCACCTCCTGGGAACAGGATGCACCTCACAGCGGCTTCTGCCGGCTGGCGCGTCCAGTCTGTCCCAGCAACCTCTTCCCCACCATTTTCAGACGATGCATCTTACTAAAGTATAAAACTGCCCCCAGCAAGCCTGTCCTTCACCTCTTTCACCCCCCGCCCCACATCCCCCAGGCCTCCCGTCCCCCAGGTCTCCTACGATGGCCACGACCCTGCCGGGCTGCTCCCTTGGCTTGGACCACTTTTCCTCTCCTCACCCCGTTTAGGAGTGCCACTATGCCAGGTTCTGGTCTCCAAGCACCAGGTAAACATCACTAACAAAAGAGCTACAACCTCTGCCCCGGCAGAGCTGACATTCAAGACAAGGGAAACAAGAACAGAAAACCATCTGTGTGTCAGTATTCTGAGCACAAGAGAGGGTAAAGGACCAAGAGCTCCTGGGAACGCTGTTTTAAGTGGGTGGTCAGGAAGCACTTCTCTGCAGAGACCTGAAGCCAGGAGAGGGAACAGGCAGAAAACAGGGAACAGTGATAAGAGTGGGCACACAGGTTTGCACCCCTCCCCCTTCCCCTGGCTTCCAGGACCACCCTTTCCTTGCTCTGGGAACCTTCCCTGCTCTGCCCAGGGCCAGGGCTAGCACCCCTCCAAAGTGCTCTCACGTGGCGCCACACCACGGCACTCCCTCCATGTCTTTCATAAGTAAAGCCTAGACATGGTGCCATCACAAAAGTAAGATCCCAGTTCTTACATTGTAGGTTATGATGAGGCTCAGAACACATGCTGCCAACAATCTAGGGTCTTCCCAAAGCACTGCAACTACTGTGACGTGTCAAAAAGAAAGGATATAAAATTGCACAATAGGGTATAGGGTACAATAGGGTATATACCCAAAAGAATTGGAAGCAGGGTCTTGAAGGTATATTTGTACACCCAGGTTCACAGCAGCACTCTTCACAATAGCCAAGAGTTGGAAACTACCCAAATGCCCATCAACAAATGAGTGAATAAAGAAAATGTCCATCCATACAATGGGATATTGTTCAGCCCTAAAAAGGAAGGAAATTCCAACACATGCTACAACGGTGATGAACTCAGTGGAATAATAACTCAGGACATAATGCTCAGTGAAATAAGACAGACACAGAAGAACAAACACTGTAGGATTCCACTTATATGAGGTACTTAGAGTAACTAGTCAAGTTCAGAGACAAAAAGAATGGTGGTTGCCAGGGGCTGGGGGGAGGGGGAATTGTTTAATGGGAAGAGAGTTTCAGTTTTTCAAGACCAAAAAGTTCTGGACATCCATTACACAACAACGTGAATATATTTAACACCACTAAACTGTACCCTTATAAATGGTAAATTTATGGTACATGTTTTTTTACAAGCTAAAAAACTTTTAAACAGACGAGTATTTCCTGACTTGATTCTAACTGTACACTAAGTAGAGAAAAAGTCAGGTACTGATGAGACAGTTTACTAGCAATTCCAAAATCAGCAAGCTGAGCCAGCTGTCTTCCACAGATGCAGATGCAGCTCCTGCTTAAACTCTCCAATGGTTCTCCACTCCCTGGAGCGCCAGCAAAGTGGTTTTCACACCCGTGCCTCTCCTTTTAACCAGAATTCTGTTCGACAAAATCTTGGCCAGAAGCAGCGTTCTGGGCGAAAAGAAAGGAGAGGAGTGGGGGCCTCCTCACTACATCCCCCCCATCTAAGCCCTGTCTTCTCTTTGCAACACGAAAGAGGGAAACGGACACAAAGTACTGAACACCGGGTGCCAACCTGCCCCGCATCCACCCACGGACCTGACCTCCCGCCCCGGTCCCACTTCCCTCTACAGCCCCGGCGCCAGCACACTGCCCGGCGCACGGCTGGTGTTCAGCTGTTAGGTGGCTAACCCTGAGGAGAGAGAGGGGACCCGACACTGACACACTAAGGATAAACTCGCACGCGATAAACCCGTGACACCGGCAGCGCCCGGCGCGGTGCTGGCACAGCTCTGCAGGCATACCCGGCTTCAAGTCCCCACTGCCCGCGTTCGTAGCCTACACTACGCGCCTCCCTAAACCTCGTGGTTCTCGCGCCGACGCGGCGGCCACCAACCTCCCTCCAGGGGCGCCGCCGGGGCCCAAAGGATGAGGGGTCTCGGGGCCGCGGTGCCCAGGGCGGCGGGGCGGGGCCGCAGGCCGGCAGGACCGAGCTCGCGGGACTGGCCCGTGAGCTCTCCCCTCCCCGCTACAGCCCCCCAGCCGATCCGGGGCTTGTTCGCGGGAAGCAATCTCGGGTCTACACAAGCAAGACAGCGTTCAGTCCCGAGCGTCGGCGGGCTCAGGCCAGTGACTCGGCACCTCCGCCGCCGCCACGGCCGCCCTCCCGGCCCCGACCGGGGAGGGGGCCTGGCCTGGGCCTCAGCTGCCGCCGCTGCCGCCGCCGCCGCCACCGCCGCCGCCGCCGCCGCCGCCGCCGCCGCCGCCGCAGCCACCGCCTCGCGCGGACGTCCGGAGCTCACCGGAAGTCCTGACCTGCACTTCCGGGAGGGGCGCGAGCGCAGGCCGCTGCGAAAGAAAGCCAGGCAAAGGCGCGAGGGTCCAAAATTCCCGGAGAGTGAGCGCTCAGATACCCCTTCCTAACGTGTGCACTCTAGAGCACCTTACGTGATTATTTTAAATTACAGTTTGATAGTGTCCCCCTCCTGACGAATTTGGTGCGGCCCACTCCCCTTACTGCCTACACTACCCAGAAGGCAAGCAGACCTTCCGGCCTCTGCTGCGGCCATCGAGGACTCGGGCGGAAGTAAGCCACACTTCCGCCCTCGAACTAGGCCGAGAGCCCATTGAAATCCTAAACTGACGCCCTTGACTGACGTATACATGAATTTAATTTGTGGCGAGGTTTCTTTTCCCTCCAGGTCCCAGTTGGGGGGAGTATTCTTCTCTTCCCAAAGTAAAGATGTCCGCCGAGCGTAGGTTGTCTGAGTAAACGGAGTCAGAGTTGAATTGCGCAACCGCGAGTGCGTCCGGCCCGTGGATGACGCTTCTTTGGGGGCGGGCTGGACTATTCCAGCCGTAAATGGCGGAGCGCTAGTGCCCGCCCCCAGCGTGGACCGATCAGAAAGGAGGAAAGGCTGGGAACGGAGTCCCTCTTGGTTGGCCCCCG